ATATCCTCTTCCTACCAACTAAATAAAGTTGCATACTATGAGAAATGACCTTTCTATCTATCTGAAAACCTGACACCCAAAATGGGACTGCAATGACAGAATGTTATAAACCACATTTGTAATGCCTTTTTTTCCCCCTTTGTTGTCTTTTCCTAAGTTGCATTCTTCCCAAAGTCTCTTATTTGGGAGGCTGAACAAGTGAACAGAATCATTTCAGGGTTTTGTTGTTGTGGCTACACAAGATGAAGAGGATTTGTTCCTTTGAGAAATCAGTCTTTCTTCAAATCTCCTGCTTTACTGCTGCAGAGAACAAGGGACATGACTTGGATAGAAATAAGGAAGAACTGTTACCTGGGCAAAGAAGGCTGAAATTTTCTTCAAGTTCAGGGAAGCAAGATAATATTCAGAAGTAGCTTAGGCAGATGCCTCCCTAATTCACTGGGATAGAAGAAGAAAGGGAAGTAAAGCTCAACCAGACTTACAAGATTCTGTTATCTCGATGATGTATAGTTCTAGTCTTCCTGTGGAGTTGAGTTTCTGGTCTGGTCTACCTCATAGGGCTGATAATTACAAAAGATGTTAGGGTTGTTACCTGCGTGAGGAGCAGACACTACTGCATCCAGAACAGCAGAAAAGAGTCTAGATTTATGTAAGATTTTCAGTACTGGCATTGTAGAGAAAGGAGGTTTCTCTTGAGTTCTGCTATCCTAGTTCCGGAATGGAAAAATCACTTGACAATGAATATTATCATTAGTGTGCAAAGGTATACAGAATCCTATTTACTCTTCATGCATTATAAGTTGACAGTTAATATAGTGATGTTCAGAAAGAATACTCTGTACTTTGCTCTGTGATTTTTTTCTACATTAGCGGTTGAACAGTATCATGAAATATTTAAGAGCATGGCCTGCTGCTTTGTGAAAATAATCAGGATCTTTGCTTGCCAGGTGAATGTCCAGTTCTTACCAGCCATATAGTCAGTTTCCATGCACATGAAACATAGAACAACACAAGGAAAAGGCCAGCCATATCTGTGTAAACTCACAGGTTGTAGATGTTAGATGTGAATTAGGTGCCATCCACAACTTCATCAATTCAATTCTCCATTCTGGGTTTATATATTCCAATAATATATTACCAAGAACTGAGGCATTGTTATACAACTGCTACCTTTTAGCCCACGTACCTAGCTTATTTCCATGCTACCATTTTCTGTCTACGTGGCCATTACACAATAAATAGAACTTCAAATCCCACTGGGGATTTATCCAATTAATACCCTTGAATTTGCAGCCAAATCCCTGGATCTAATTAGTAATGCCATCTGCTTCTGAAAGTAGTGTTAATGTATTACTATCTTCCTTGTGGGCTATTTTATGTGGCAGCATTTTATATCTGAACAATTAAGCCACCCACTGCAATACAATGCCTAGCCTTTTATCTTTGCTTTTCTCACAGAGGAGCCTTTTCAGAAGTTTTTCTGGTGAAGCACAGAGCCACTGGCAAGCTTTTTGCTTTGAAGTGCATTAAAAAGTCACCAGCCACCCAGGACAGCAACCTGGAAAATGAAATAGCTGTGCTGAAGAAGTAAGTACAGCTGGAAATGCATGACAAAGTTCAATGGTTCTGTCAAAACTCCTCAACAGGGCTACAAGTTACTCATTTTAGGGCAGTTAGAAGGGCAGTAAACTAAAGACTGCCTCATCTGGGCAGAAGGCTTCACAGATGAAACATCAATTTTCTCTGATTAAATTCACTAAAGGAATGAATGTTTAAATTATTTCTTTTCTCTGTTCTGCCTATATATGCATTAGAGACAGAAACGTAACAGAATAGCATCTGAAATCTAAATAGAACTGCAGCCCCAAAGTAACTTCGAAAAAGCACAAAATACCAGGCAAAAAAGAATATGTTATTGCTGTGACTAACAACTTAACAGAGTGCAATCCTATATGTGGCAGTGAAGTGGAGTCTCTGACAGCACCAGCGCTGTTGAAACTGAACACTACAGGCTATTAAACAGGCTTATGAATTCACAAAGTCCCAAAGTGAAACTATAGCCAATCTATACAATTTGGTCAGGAATAATTGAGGCTAATGGTATGCAAGGCAAAAAAATAATCACTTAACAGTCAGTCACTGCAATCTACAATCTACAGGTTAACACAGAGATCTTCAACTAACACATGGTAGTAATGCTGAGCAACGGGCATAAAAACCAACGCAGACTGCAAGGGCAGTAGAAAAAGCAAGCAGAGAGAAAAAACAGAAAAAACAGCAGCTGGAGGGAATCAAGAGGCATTTACTGTAAATGGGAGGAAAAGGAGAGCAAGTTCAAAAAAAGGTGGGGGAAAACAGCAGATGAGAAGCAGTTCATATAAATAAAGTACACACAGAGTTCATTTAGAGATTGAGAAAGTAGAGTTGTTGTTTTTTTTAAAAAAAAAAAGCTGAATGCACTGCAAGGCTTTTCGACAAACTAAAAGAAGGTGACAGACTTAAAGGTTTAACATTATGCCTTCTTACTACAACAAAGAAGGCAAGGTATTTAAAGGACGAAACACTACATTCGCACACACATCCATACATACACACTGGGAGGAGCAGATTTAAGCTGATTTCCTAATAATATTTTTTTCTTCCAGGGAATACTGTGTAAGGGCTAAAACTGGTGAGGCAGAAACCAGTGATTCCCAGGTTAGAGAGGACTGTTATGTAAAGCTAGCAGTTTGCCCAAGGCCACCAAACATGTTAATTTGGAAAGGGAGGAGAAAGAAATTCTGAGTTGTAAATGTTTGAGCAAAGATACCCAAAACCTATGACTTATTTGCCCTACAACAGCAATAAATTGTTGTGTTAAGCTTCATTCTTGTCTGCAATAAAGATCCTAAACTAACTGAGTCATGTCTGGGAGTCTCCTTCCAAGTCCAGCTGAAGCCTGACAAACCAAGCTTTATAAGTCATAGGTCTAAAAAACGAATTTTCAACACTTTCCTCATACTGTAATTCAGATGATTTTTGAATGGAGGGCAATCTGTAACAGTTGAATTAGTATACAGTTACATTTGATGTAGTGTAAATCAGCCAAGGAGACAGAAGGGATCCCTTTTCTCTGATCCCTTCTTTCCTAGCATTATTATTATTTCTTTTTTTCCCTTCACGGAGCTAATTTCATCTCATCTGACAAAGTAAGTATGTCACTCCTTTCTCATTTGGGAATAAATCCCATCACAACATCTGAAATAATACTGGTGTCCTATGTTATGATGGGCATAAATCCAAACAATATTGTGTCTGTTGTTCAGCTACTTAGAAATGAATAGGCCCAAAACAGTAGTAGTTCACAAATGAGGGCTACCAGACATGAACATGAAATAAAACTGCACTCAGTGGAGTATTGTACCAAAATCTGTCTTCCAATTTTGTTAAAAAATATAAACAACCTACAAAATAGCCTTCTCTTTTACTACAGGTAGTCCTCACTTAAGAACCACTCATTCAATGACTATTCAAAATTACAACAGTGCTGAACCTTATGACCAGTCCTCACACTTACCGCTGTCACAGCATCCTTATGGTCATGTGATCAAAATTCAGGTGTTCATCAACCAGCCTGCATTTCTGACTGCCACAGCATCCTGTGGTCATGTGATCACCACTTGTGACCTTCTCTGCCAGCTTCCGACAAGCAAAGTCAATGGGGAAGCCAGCAGGAAGTCGCAAGACATAGTCACATGAAGTCCTCACTTAACAACCACCACAAAAATGCTGTCACAAGTAGTCACAGTCATGAGGGGTCCTTGGTTAATGACTGCATCACTCAGCGATGGAGTTTCCAGTCCTAATTAGGGTCGTTAAGTGAGGACTACCTGTATCTTATTCTCAAAGCACTTCAGATTTGGGGATGGTATTTTGAGCTTAACTTATTACTGCAAGGTGACAACAGGAGGAGCTTTTGTTTTGTTTTGTTTTCTGTTACCCATCATTTCTTTGGTCTATAGACTCCATGGCTGCCCTCACTTCCTGAGTCAAGAAAGCTACAGGGAAGAATTCCTTTAGGATGTTTTCCCTTTGGATTAGATGTGGGAAATCATGCAGGCTGCAGACTCTAGAGAGAGTATGTTGTGGTGAAATATTCAGACACTTTCTTCCCTAAAGCAAGTGCAAGTATCCTTCATCCCACCCATTTTCTTCTCCTCTGAAAAAAAATTTGAAAGTGACTTCTCTGCCATCAAAGTGAATGAGAATGGTAGAAAAACTGCAGAAAAGATAATTTGGTGCTGCACTAATTCAGAGACAGAATTGGTGGGATGATTATATGATAAAGACAAACAAGAAATGGTAAGATATTTATACCATGCCTTTGAAATCCCTTTATTTATTTAACAAATTTATATAGCCACCCATCTACCCAAGGAATTTTGGGCAGCAAACTGAAATAAAAATAAACCAAGTATAGACAGCCAGAGATGTAACCTTGGAGCAAATATGGAAAAACATTTATGAGAACAAAAACATGTGTTAAGCCTGGGAAACAGAGAAAGTGTGAGAAAGAAGTTCAGAGTAGCTCCAACCTAATTCACTGAGATATAAGAGGAAGGGAAAACACACTCAGGCTTTCAAGGTTCTGTGACTATAGTCTTGGGGAGCCTGTTTCCTGGCCTACAGTCACCAAGAATATAGATCCGTTAAAAAGAAACTGGGTTGAGGGGCCTAAGAATCACATTATCAGCTCATGAAACAAACCACTTCCACACCAGAACTCCATCCACATCCCAGCTGTAGTGCCTGGGGAACAGCCAGATCTTCACAGCCTTCTGAAAGGCCAATAGGATTGGAACTGACTGTATCTCAGTGAGGAGACTATTCCACAAAGCAGGCCCATGACAGAGAAGACATGCTTCCTAGAGCCCACCATGTGACACTGCTTCACCAATGAGCATGTCCACTCTGCCAGATCTAGTGGGACAGGCAGAAACATCAGGGACAGGATGAATTTTATGGCTTTTAATTTTATAATTGGAAATTGTGATTTATGTAGACCTTCAGTCTGATCCCTCAAGTATGTTTACATTATTATGAAAGCAACAGAAAAAAATGTGAGAATTATTCATACCCAAAGAAGAGTAAAACATTTTAAGAAAGCGATACTAGTAAGCTCGTTTAAACCTTGTCTCCTTCAGAATAGTATACAGAACATAAGAAAAATCCAGCCCACATGCTCCCAGAAATAGTACAGTTTCTAAACAAGAGAAAACATGTTTTGTAATGTTCTTCCTTTTTTTTCCATGAGTGTATTGCAAGCAGTAGTGGGAAGCTGGATCTCTTGTTATCAGAAGCTGAAGTATGTGTTTTGTTCCTCAAATGAAAGTACCAGAGTTCAGTCTGAATGAAAAACTTCTTACACTAAGGAGGGATGAATGCTAGCTTACTTTTTTAATGATCTGTATCACGTTCTGTCTTTGGTTGCAGAATAAAGCATGACAACATAGTAACTCTTGAGGACATTTATGAAAGCACAACCCACTATTATCTGGTAATGCAGCTGTAAGTATCAACACGTAAATTGTGTAAGAAACAAACATTTCAGAATTCCCAGCCAAGAATCGGTGGCTTCTGAGAACCATAGCCCAACACATCTGGATCACACTAGGTTGTAAAAGGTTGTATTAAATAGTCCTGTCACACTGTGGGACTTCTTTTGTTCTTTTTTTTGGGGGGGGGAGCATTGTAAACATCTCCACTGTTATGTTTAAACTAAGAATGGCAGCCATAGAGATACAGCCCAACCCAATGGTCTTTACTGTGATATCAGCACAGTCCCTCTGTGTTGTAAGTACACGATACTTAAATGTAACAGCAGTAGTGTAAAATAAAGCCACAGAAATGTGGAACACTATTAGAACAATTTAAAAGTAACAGGTTTCTAATGAATTAGACTACTTCATATTGTTGATCTGATTTTTTTTTTTTCTGATTTCTTAGGCCCTATCATAGTTTAACAGCTAAAAGATCTAAGAGGGCCTCTGTTTTCTATTTTTCAATTTATTATTGTATACTTTCTGTTTGTTTTTTTTCCCTGGCACTTGACTTTGAAGTACCACAAGAGCTCAAGCAGTGGAAATACTCTCTCTCTTTACCTCTTCCCCACAAATTGTTCAAGTTGTTCCTCCAAGATAAATTCACCAAGTCAAATCTTGCAATCCCATACGTATATATTCAACCTCATTCACTTTAATGAGACTTACTTCCAGATAAGACTGCAGTCTAGGTGCAGTCTAACCCATCTAACCTAGCAGTAAAGAAACAATATTCTCTTGGTTGCGGTAATTTTAAAACTGTATTCACCCTTATATGTGAATAAAGCCATGCAAGCAGTTTCCTTCTTTCTGTCTATAATAGTTTGTTTAGGTGTTGTAAAGAGTGAAGAAAAAAGTTATTGCCTGTAACAGGAAACGGAAAAGGAGCTAGAAGAGAAATGAGAAAAACATGATATCTAATTTGTTCAATGGGTGGCCAATAATGAATATTAAGAATTATGCAACATAACATCTGTGAGTGGGAGGATTTCTACACAGTAGACAGATGGATCCTAAACAAAAGTATCATGCCCCATTTCACTCATATTCAAAAGAGGAAGGAATTAATGAGAAAATATCTAACTTATATATGCTGAGCATTAAAAAAGGGAAAATAGGTTTGCTTATCAGCAATAAACCAGACTCCTCATTCAAAGCTGAATTGGAAGTAGATTCATCTAATGAAGATATTTCCTGCTAATTATATGCTAGTAAATTGCATCATGGAAGGCTAGAAGGAACTTCTTTATATGCCAGATTTAATGAAGACAGATCCTAGTCATTTGGAGACAGGCACTAGCATTGCATGGTCTAAGGCATATTGAGTTTAATATATTTTCTTTGTGTTACAAGCCATCCATTTTTCTTTTCAGATCCAAGTGTGATGCAGATCCAAAGGGCAGCACTTGCAGTTTCTTTCTAGTTGAGGCTTCAAATTGTTTAATGGTGAAATTGAGTGTTAAAATTAATGTGCTTATTTAGCTCATGATTTCATGTATAAAATGGGCATTATTGCTCGTACTGAAGGGTTACAGCAGTATTTTTTCCAACCTGAGAATCAGAAGTGCTTAAGCAGCAGTTCCTACTTCTACAAATTAGAGTCTGGGTTTATAATCCCTTTCAGATTATAAACAAAGCAATTAAGAGGTACAAAACTTCCCAGTGTTACCAATAAACAATTTTATTTGGCATGGCACTGTGTATAAATTAACACAGAAGATGGAATATAGAGAAGTGAAACCAAACAGATTCCCTCTACATCGGCACATAATCCAAATGGAATTTTCTTCCACAGAGTGTCTGGAGGAGAATTATTTGACCGTATTTTAGAACGAGGTGTTTACACTGAAAAGGATGCTAGTATTGTAATTCAGCAAGTCCTGGGAGCAGTGCATTATCTTCATGAAAATGGGATAGTTCATCGAGATCTAAAGGTATTTTCTTTTAATGATCTCTATTTAGGTACCACCGTATTTTAACTACAAGTCATGCAAGCATCCATGAATTTGCAATTATTTTTTTTAATCACACCCACCTCCTAATATGCAGACAGAGTGGGGAAGAATATTGGCATTAGAATATTGTGCCTTATATTATTCCTTTCTAAAAATACATTTATTGCACTTTCTGTTCCCCAAGTTCAGACCAGCTATGTACACAACAAATGAAAATGGCACACTCTGATCTTGGTATTTCTAGATTCATCACCGTAATCTCATCCACCAAGGAGGGTCATTCAGAGACTGAATGTCAGACAATTAATTTTCATCTTCTTATCCATAGCCTGAAAATTTGCTCTACCTAACACCAGAAGAGGACTCCAAAATCATGATAACCGATTTTGGTTTGTCTAAAATGGAACAGAATGGCATCATGTCTACAGCATGTGGAACTCCAGGATATGTTGGTAAATTAAAAAATGGAACTAAATTGTTTTTTAATAGTAATTTTATTAAAGATTAATAAACAATAAAACTAATGCAAACTAAAAGAGTTAAAGAATAAAACAAAAAAAATAGGAGGTTCAGAAAAGGAAGAAAGAAAAATAGAAAGAAAAATAGAAAAGAAATAAAAAATAAGAATATAGTAAAGGAAAAGAAAAGAAATATATAAAGATGTGATTTCCAACCTTCATCACAAGTATAAACAATTTAGTAACTTATCACCTTCTCTTAAAATACAACAAATGAACTGTTCTTCCCATATCCCATCTCTTATCTATAAACAAATCCTTAAAGCCTCATCATTTCAGTCCTGATGTCAGTAAAAGTCTATTAAGGGTTACTAGAAATAACAATATATCTATTTTAACCTTGATCAAATAAACCAACTTTATATTCCTTCCT